AAGACTTGCTTTGTGGCCTAACATATGACCTATTCTGGAGAATGTTCCATGTGCTCTTGTGAAGAATGTATATTATTTTGTTTTTAGATGGAATGTACTGTATATGTCTGTTAGGTCATCTACTTTAATGTGTCCTTTAAGACCAATGTTTCCTATTGATTTATATGATCTATCCATTGATGATGGTGGTGTATTAAAGTCCCCTACCATTATTGTGATACTGTCTTTGTCTTTTTAGGTTTGTAGTATTTGCTTTATGTATTACTAGGTGCTCTTATGTTGAGTGTATAAATATTTCGAACTATTGTATCTTCTTATTGGGTTGACCCCTTTATCATTATGTAATGACCATCTTTTGTTTGTTTGTTTGTTTGTTTTTTTGGTACATTCCCCTAGCGGGAACTGAACCCTGGACTCTCTGGTTCACAGGTCAACGCTCCAATCGCTGAGCCAAAACGGCCAGGGCGTGAAATGACCATCTTTGTCCTGTTACAATCTTTGTCTTAAAGTCCATTTGCGTGGAATATCTTTGTCCAGCCCATCACTTTCCGTATGTGTGAATCCTTATGTCTTAAGTGAGTCTCTTGTAAGCAGCATATACATGGATCTTGGGTTTTTTTTCCCATTCAACCAATCACTGTATTTTGATTGGAAAATAAGTTGATTTATATTTAAAGTAATTATTGATAGGTATATACTTATTGCCAGTTTGTTCTTTTCTGGTGGTTTTGTAATTCCTTGTTCCTTTCTTGCTCTCCCCTTTTGTGATTTCATGATTTTCTGTGGTAGTATGTTTTGATTCCTTTCTCCTCTTTTGTATGTCTGCTATAGGTTTTTGCTCTGTGATTATCATGGGGGTTACATAAGACATCTTATATTTATAATAGTCTTTTAATCTGATAACAACTTATGTTTGAATGCATTGTGAAGCTTCACATTTTTATACCCCTTACCTCACATTTTATATTTTAGATGTCACAGTTTACATCTTCTTATTTTGTGCATCCCATAACAACTTGTATCAGATAGATTCTTCCAGTGCATTTGTTGTCTGGATGGAGAGACAGATTCCTGGTGCTAGGAAAGTCCACCATCTTCCCAGAATGCTAGCTCATTGACTTTTCATTTCAAGTCTCAGGTAGACTTGTTTTATTTTAATTTGTTTAAATATGTTTTTATTGAATTTAGAGAGAGAAACATAGATGTGAAAGAGAAACATTGATTGGCTGCCTTCTGCACACCCGCTGCTGGGGACCGAGCCTACAACCAGGCATGTGCCTTGATGGGGACTTGAACCAGTGACCTTCTGGCTCATAGGACCATGTTCAACCAACGGAGCCACGCTGGTCAGCACTCATGTAGATTTGTTTTAAAAGGGACACGTTCCTTGTGGACCTCTACTCTTGACCAAAACAAATTATGCTAATAAGACAAATTTACAAATAATAAAACTTAAAAACCAATAAAATTTATAACCCCAAATCCTTCAAAATAATGTGATTAACTGAAATGGACCAGTGATATTTCGTTCAAAGTAAATAACTGTTATGAATGAGAATATGCAGCTTGTCTTTTTTTGTGGTAAAATATACATAATATAAAATTTACCATTTTAACCTTTTCAAAGTGTATAGTTCAAAGTGTATAAACACTTTCACATTGTCATGCAACCATCACCACTGTCCTCCAGAACATTTTCATTGGCTCAAAGTGAAACTCTGTAACCTTTAGACAGTAACTCCCCACTCTCCCCTTTCCCAATCACAGGTTCTTTGAGTTCTGCATATCTATCCTTTAATGTGATGACTTAGTTTTCCTATCTCTTTGCTCTATTACAAATATTTTGACATTGTCATTCATAGTTTGCTGTGACATTATTTGGTATTTATTTTGCAGGAACTCATCATTTATATGTGAAGATTGCCTCTCTTGTTTTTCATTAGCTTTCTACAACATTTAAAAAATTACCAAAGACTTTTTATAAGTTTTTGATCTTTCTCCATTGTAAACAATACAGACTTGGAGGACCCAAGATGTAAAATGGCAAGTAGGATAATCAGGCCCCATAATCCAAGGAAGGTGTTTCTCAGATGACAGAAGTCAGCACTGTAGAATATGGCAGAGTATGAGGGCAGTATAGGATGGCAAAGAGTAAGGTACCACAGTGCAAATATTCGCTGAAATTTTCTGTATTTCTCAGGAAAATAGAGATACATGTTCTCAAGGAAGAATATCTGTTGCAATGTGAAGAAAATTATACTATTTCTTATTCTTTGGGGATTTTAATCACCTGTATTCTCAGATTTCCTGAGACTCTCTTTCTTAATATAAAATACTCTCTGATACTTTACTTGTTTTAGAAGTTAAAGCTCGCTAATTTTTAAATTTTATTTTATGACATTTTTTTTTGATATGTTGGAAGAGATTTATTTATTTTTATTTTATTTTTTAAATCTTTATTGTTGAATGTAGAATGTATTACAGATATTCCTCATTTTTCCCCCATTGACCCCCTCCTCCCAAATCCCGCCCCCCTCCCGCCTTTTCCCACACTATTGTCTGTGTCCATTGGTTATGCATATAAGTTCTTTGGTTTATTTCTTCCCACCCCTCCAACCCCTTTCCCTTTGAGGTTTGTCAGTCTAGCAATGAATTTGTACTTCTTAATCCTTTCACCTTTTTCACCCATTCCCCCAAACCCCTTCCCATCTGGCAACCAACAAAATGTTCTCTGTATCTATGAGAATGTTTCTGTTCTACCTGTTCATTTTGTTTTTAGATTCCATTGTCAGTAGATATGTATTCATTGCCATTTTGTTTGTTCATATATTTTATCTTTTTATTCAAAAATACCCTTCATCATTTCATATAATAACGGTTTGGTGGTGATGAACTCCTTTAACTTTTTCTTGTCTGGGAAACTCTTTATATGGCCATCGATTCTAAATGACAGCTTTGCAGGATAGAGTAATCTTGGTTGTAGGTTCTTGCTTTTCATCACTCTGAATATTTCTTGCCACTCCCTTCTGGCCTGCAAAGTTTCTTTTGAGAAATCAGATGATAGTCTCTGGGAACTCCCTTGTAGGTAACTAGCTGTCTTTCTCTTGCTGCTTTTAAGATTCTCTCTTTGTCTTGAACCTTTTGCATTTTGATGATGATGTTTCTTGGTGTGTGCCTCTTGGGGTTCATCTTGTTTGGGACTCTCTGTGCTTCCTGGACTTGTATGTCTGTTTCCTTCACCAAGTTAGGGAAGTTTTCTGCCATTATTGTTTCAAACAGGTTTTCAATTTCTTGTTCTCGCTCTTCTCCTTCTGGCACCCCGAAGATGCGAATGTTGGCACGCTTGAAGTTGTCCCAGAGGCTCCTTACACTATCCTCATTTTTTTAAATTCTTTTTTCTTTTTATTGTTCTGATTGGGCATTTTTTGCTACCTTATATTCCAAATCGATGGTTTGCTTCTTGGATTTACATACTCTACTATTGAATCTGTGTAAATTATTCTTTATTTCAGTTAATGCCTCCTTCAATTCTGACTGTGCATCCATCATTTCTCACTGGCCCCTTTTTATGCTCTTGAGGTCCTCCCTAAGTTCACTAAGGTTCTCACTAAGTTCATTGAGCATCCTTATAAGCTGTATTTTGAACTCAGCATCTGTTAGGTTGCTTATCTCCATTTTGCTTAGTTCTTTTCTTGGGGTTTTGTTCTGTTCTTTCATTTGGGATCTGTTTCTTTGTCTCCTCATTTTGGCTGCCTCCCTGTGTTTGTTTCTGTGTATTACTTAACGAGAAGTATGGGGCTATCTGAGACCAGATGCTGCTTGTTTGAAAGAATTTAGGAAAACCTGAAGCAGGATCCAAGATAGGCCAATCCTATGGTTAAGCAACTGGCAACAGCTTGGGTTGGCCTGAAAGTTAGGTGGGGCGGGGCCTCAGGGAGTCACCAGGGCAGGGCAACCAGTGTGAGCCTGGTTGCTGGAGTCCCAGATATGGTGGCTGTCTGCCGCCCCAGGGAAGGGCTCACCAAAGGAACAAAGGCCTGTGACAGCATGTCTGTCCCAGAGAAAGCCCCCTCTGCAGCCCTCGCTCCAGTGCCAAACAGCTCAGTTCTTCCCAGTAGGTCTCTGGTGCCCCTCGAGCTGCCTCCCCTCCAAGCTTAGAGGGAGAGAGTCCGATAAGTCTGTGCGCGGGCCCTTTAAGGAGCTGCCTGGGGTTCCAGCCGCTTCAGCTTCCCTGAGCCTCAGTTCCCACTGGTTTTTCCAGCCAAAAGTTATGGGGACTTCTCTTCCTGGCACTGGAACCGTGAGCAGGGCGCCTGGTGTGGGACGGGGACCCCTCAGTCCTCAGGAAGGACCTTCCCAGCTGAAGTATCCTCCTGATTTTTATCCGTCACACATGGGTGTGGGACCAGCCCGTCTTGCCGCTGCTCCTCACGCCTTCGCCCCTCCTACCAGTCTGGATGTGGCTGCTGCTTTAATTTCGTAGTCGTAGGACTTCCATTCAGCTTGATTTCAGGCGGTTTTGAATGATGGTTGTTCTGTAGTTTAGTTGTAACTTTGATGTGGTTGTGGGAGGATGCGATACTGCTTTTACCTACGCCGCCATCTTGACCGGAAGTCTAATTTATGACATCTTTTAAAGTAATTTGAGATGTCTTGGGATATCAGACATTTAGGTTGGAATATTTTAAACATTCCTACCTGAATGGACATTTTAATTCTGTAAAATACTCCTGTGATAATTTTGTTACAGTTGCTTCAAATATGTAGAAACATAATAGTATAATTTCTTTAGGTTTGTTTTATGTTGCGATTAAAGGTTTCAGTGTCAGTGAGCCACACTGGTTTTGAGTTAGTTTTAATGGGAATAGAGTAAGAAAAATAAAATGGAATGGTTTGAAGAAAATTATACATATTAGATGGTTTCTTCATTGGAGTAATTATTTTCCATATTTGCGTTTTAGAAAATTGTTTCAAGAAATAGACCAATCAGATTCTGAAGGATGGGAATCTTCAAAAGATCTGAGAAGTAATCTTGGACACTTAGAATCAGAACTTTTATTTCTTAATACACTTACTGGCATCAATATAAGAAAGTATTCCAAGAAGACAGAGAACCTAATGAGCACTGAGATGACAGAAAAAGGTGAGTGCTAATTTTAATCTAGAAGTGGTGTTGAAGCTTATCTTGTTATACATTGGAAGTTAGGTGGGATATCATTGAATTGGAATTCTACAAGGTACTATCTGAATGTGTGGTTGTGGTAAACTTGTTTTGTAGCGTTTCTTTTGCACATCACAGTGTACATAATACTCTTAAAAGCTGCCTGAAGTATAAAAGGAGACACGGTCTCTTTTTAAGTAACTTAATAGTCAAGTAAAGAGATGAGTGATTTTAAGAACCACAGTACCATTAATTTGTAAATTTAGGTGTCCACCACCGACACAAGAGATGCCTCATCTGCAGTACTCTGCTGCTAATGAACATAGCCTATGGCCAAGACAAAAGTATCAGCAGCTGGGCACTTACCCAAAGGAGGGTTTCTGGTCTCATAACCAGGTTTTATTGCCAGGGATCTGTGATGCACTCACAGGGAAGGAGAGGCTAATTCAGTGGGGCAATTCGATGTCAGGAACTCTGCTTGGACAAAAGTAGCATTCCCTAAAGAAGGACTCGATTTTGGAAATGCTTCCTGACTTCCCTCAAAATAACCCTCAAGACAGGGAAAGGGAAAGCGACTCTCTGTCTTATGCAGCTTACCTCAGTGAAAGTTTGAATTATATAGAGAAATGAGTGATGGAATTTAGACACTTTAGGTACTTAAAAGGAAGAGATGGGATGCAGAGGCTGGAGAGTGATGTTAGACCAGGTATAAGACTTTTACTAGTACTAAAGTCTCAGTCTTCTTATTTGGAATCCAGGTTCACCCCCATCTGTTGAAGTGCTTGGTGTTGCCGATTCAGAATGCCTTTCTGGTACTCTGCTATGTAAATGGGTTTGATTCTAAGCTTTTGCATTGCTGGCTTAGGTTTCAGTTTTCCTGGGTCTGCCAGGTCAGTTCTTCTCCATGTGATATCTAGCTCATCCATGTGACTTTCAGCTTCCAAAATTAGGTTATTCTCATATTTCTATTTCTGTTTATTCTTGTAGAATTGTGCCCTTCTAAAAATACCTTTACTAGCAAGTCTAGATGTTGATAAAGTCAGAATAGTGGTTATTTCTTGGGTGAGGGTAGAGTATAGCCTGCAAAAGGGCCTGAGGCAACTTCATGGGTACTTTAATATTTCTGTATCTTGATCTCGGTGCTGGTTACATGGGAAATTTGTTCCTTACCTGAATCTCTGGTATAATCTAGAGCTGGAAAGTATGTTGATTTAATTCTGTTTCACACAAAGGTAATCAATTTGGTGCACATTATTCTAGATAGTTTCAATGCAAATACTAACATATATACTTCACACATATACCCACATGAATATTGTAGGCATTCACACAAAAATGATTGATGGATATTTGAAAAAAATTGTTATTTGCAAATAAAATATTTGTTTTTCTGATTGATAGGTATACAGAGACATAAATTATCAGGAAATTGCCAAATGATTACATTTCAAGTTGAATTTCAGATTCTGGAAGTCCAGGTAATTTTTTTTTTTACTGTATTGATTTTAGAGAGAGAGGAAAGGAGAGGGAGAGAGAGAAAAACATCAATGAGAGAGAGAGAGCATCGATCGGCCACCCCCCTGCACGCCCCCCCACTGGGGATCAGCTCACAACCTGGGCATGTGCCCTGACCGGGAATTGAACTGGTGACCTCCTGGTGAATGGTTTGATGCTCAACCACTGAGCCACACTGGCCGGACTTTTTTTTTTAGAGAGAGAAAGTGAGGAAGGGGCGGAGGGGGCATCAATGTGAGAGAGAGACATCGATTGGTTGCCTTCCACAGGGCCCTGACCAAGGCTGAGGATTCAACCTGCCATCCATGTATGTGCCCTTGACCAGAATCAGACTCTAGACCCTTTGGTCTGTCGGCTAATGCTGTAACCGCTGAGCCAAATCAGCCTGAGCAAGGAAGTCCAGGTAAATTAGAGATTGTGTTGTAATAAGAGAGATACTATTACTATGAAATAAAAAATCCCCCCAGCCTCCAGCAGTGGCTGAGCTGAGGACCAGGATCCCCTTGTTGCATATTTGTGCAAAGTGGTACCATTTCAAAAAGTATTTAAAGTATAAATATAGTACCCCAACAACTGAATGTTGTAGGGTTGTTGCTGCGGGTACAGGTGCTTTATTGGAGGTCAGGCTGCAAGGTGATTCTGGGCTTCCAGTGTAAGCCCTGAGGTAATGAGAATAGTTCTGCATGCCCCTAGTTGTTAGCTGATATGCCAGCCATTTGTTGTCTGTTATGCATTGCTGCTTAACAAATCTCCCCAGAAATTAATGGCTTAAAACAACAACAAGGAAAGCATTTATTGTCTCACCTATTTCCCTGTGGATCAAGAGTTTAGAAACAGCTCAGTTGGGTGTCCTTGCCTAAGGCCCCTCATGAAGTTGTGGTCATCTGGGACCACAGCCATATGAACACTGCTGTGGGCCGGAGGGTGAGACTTCGAGGTGGTTCATGGTTATGCCAACACGTTGTGCTGGACTGCTGAGACACAGCCCTGGAGGAAGACACGATGGTGATGTACAAAATATGGCTGGGGTGGAGTGGAAAAACAAGGCTCTGACACCTTCGAGTGGAGTCCAGTCATCATTTTGTGAACTGACCAGGGCAGGGTTCATGCTTTAATCGCTGAAAGCACTTTCAACTGGTTTGTTTTGCCAGCTGGGCCTACCAAAGGAGTGTGTATAAGGACAAGAACAAGGAAGGGCAGGAAGGCTGCCTTGGCTTCAGCTCATCAGATAACTACATGGATATAGACTTGTCATTATACCAAGTCCTAAGTCCTATGGACAAGGCGCTTACTTGCATTTATGTTCAGGTGCCAGGATTCCACATACATCCCCAAGCTGTCCCTTTTCATATGGGACAGGAATTGATGTCTGGTAATTAGGACCCTGCCTTCATTGGAACTAGTCAAGAATGCCTGGATCCATTCATCTGGGCTGGAGGGTTTGCTTGAGAACTCTTTGTAGTCCCTGTCACAACTGGCCCAGGCAGGCTGAGTGAGAATGAGCTGAGGGATTCTAGGCTCCTTCTCTGATGACAGAGCTCCTGGCTTGCTCTCACCTTACAGTGCCCCCTTTCAGCACTGCCCAGAACATCCACAGCGTGGCATTGCCAAGGCTTGTTGAACAAGAATATGACACAGTTGGGCATAGGTGATGAGTGGCCCTGTTGTTCCCAATTTGGCACCAGGCCTTGGCTTCATGTAGGGTCACCAGAATGATACTGTTCTTCATGATCATCTACTGAAAACTAAAACAGAACATGGACCCAAATGGATTAGTCTCACTTGGGGTGGATCCCAGTGTCAGGATCCCAGTCTTTTTCTTAGTGCAGCCGAGAAATTCTTGGATGTTGCCTCATTGCAGAAGGTTGCATTACCAAAGGGCCAACTGCATTTTGTTTCTTTGTGGAGAAGGTGATCCTAAACTCAAAACACCAGTGCCCACCTGCATCCTAACCTCCATTAATGGGCCAGGCCCACAGCCCATGGCAGGTGGAGGAGTCATAGGCTTGAGGTCCAGTGCCACATCTAGGACATCTGCACTGTCATTGTGTACATTGCCTGGGAAACTGCTCAGGGGTGTCCTAGTAGCCTTGGCATCCTACAGGCTTTTTCTGATACAGGTGTTCATCTTTTTACAGTCATTCAGTGGGTTATCTTGGGAGAAGCTAGATTATAGACAAAATCAAGCTTGCCCTTGGCTTGTCCACAAATCAAATTGAAGAGATACTGTCCTCTGGAGTTGGTGATTGGTGGACTTCCCAGAATAGGCTGTGCCCAGAGGTCGAGTAGACTGCTCTTGCTTTGCTGTTCTTCAAACTGCCTGTGTGAGCTCCACTTTCTTTAGGGTGCATACTTCTGTCACTGTAAGCCTCTGAAGGAAAGAATCAAAAAGTAGTTTGATCCCAACGTGAATCCGATCAAAGATGAGGTCACAATTTGGGTTTGTTTTTTTTTAATCCTCACCTGAGGATATCTTTTTATTGATTTTTAGAGAGAGGGAAAGGGGGTGGGGGAGAAAGAGAGAGAAACATAGATGTCTCTTTCTTTCTCACATTGATTTATTGCCTCCTGCATGTGCCCTGACCTGGGGCTGGGGATTGATCTGTGTCCCAGGTAGGCATGTGCCCTTGACTGGGAATGGAACCGACATCCCTCTGTTGTGCGGGCCAATGTTCTAACCACTGAGCAGCGCCAGGGCTGGGGACATTTTCTATAACATGGTGTACTTCTGAAGAATGGCCTGACTAGAGACATTTCCAGGGTGAACTGGCACTGGGCCCCTGCAGCTCCCGCAGAGGTTTGGTGTGCTGGTCCTGGGTGGCTATTGTAAGGTAGCGCAGACAGAAAGACAGAACCAGGGCCACATGGGCCCTGCCACACAGGCCCTGCTCTCCTTGCTACAAGTAACTTTTCCTGCTTCCTACCAGGGATTGGCAGCACCAGCCTAGCCCTTACTTCCCTGTCTATAGTATTTTTAAAAAATATTTTCTATTGCCCTGGCTGGTTTGCTAAGTGGTTAGAGCATCGGCCCGCAGTCCAGCGAGACCCGGATTCAGTTCCCGCTAAGGGCACGTACCTCAGTTGCAGTTTGTCTCCAGCCCTGGTTGAGTCGTGTGGGTGGCAACCAGTCAATGTGTCTCTCTCTCACATTGATGTTTCTCCCCCCCACCCCCGCTCTGTCTGAAGATAAATGCAAAAAAAATATCCTCAGCTGAGGATAATAAATAAATAAATAAAATAAAAATATTTTCTATTCATTTTTTTAGAGAAAGAGGGAGAGGGAGAGAGAGAGAAAGAGGAACATTGATGTGAGAGGGAATCATTGATCTGCTGCCTCCTGCATGCCCCCTACCAGGGATCCAGCCCAAAACCCAGGTGTGTGCCCTAACCAGGAATTGAACCAGCGAACTTTTGATGCATAGGACGATGCCCAACCAACTGAGCCACACTAACCAGGGCCCTTTCTACAGTATTTTAAGTGACTATTCTGATCCCATACCATGGAAGCATGATTGAAAATTTTGTGACCATTTAGTAATGGCTTAAAGTCACATGCTGAATGAATTAGAATTAGTTGAGCTGCACGTGACAGAAAACTTAGAGATAAAGGTGGTTTCAGGTACTAGAAGTTTATTTCTCTCTTGCTTAAGCAAATTGTAGGGTAAGTTTTCAAAGACTGCATGGTCATCGAGCTCTGCTATTGCCCATGTGGCTTTCCAATCATGTGAATTGCTTTAGCATTTGAGGCATCAGGAAGAAGGATGGGCAAACAAGGCTCACCTTCTCTGTTGAAGGGCACTTTTTGGAAATTGTAACACCCATACTTTTCACTTACATTCTCTTGGCCAATAAGCTAGTGCAAGGGAGGCTGGAAATTTAGTCTTCATTAATTATGGCCATGTAGCTAATTTGGGGCAAGAATGTGAAGAATCGGGGATTAACAGCAGTTTCCATCCTGTATGTCTCTAGAAATACATTTCTAGTAGAATGCTAGGTCAGAGAAGATATACATGTAAATTCTGGTTGATACCAAATTGCCTTCTAAAATGTTTTTACCTTTTACATGTTGAGTAGAATTTTATAGTTGAAACTGATAAAAAATAAAACATTGAAGACATAGCAACCTTCTACGTACTACAGCATTTTTTTTTAAAACAAAATTTCCACTAGAGGGAGATGTTTGGCTATCAGAAAATTTAAATGATTTCTATCTTATATAGAATGTAATTTTAATACAATCATAGTAATACAATGTTAGAAGCAAAAGTGACTTAAAGGCATAATAGAATATTGGAACTAAAAATGACCTTATAGAATATCTAAATCAACCCCCTTATTTTACCTAGAATTATACCTAGGGAGTTTGAATGATTACCTATGTTGGCATAGCTGTTGTTGTCAGAGGTGGTTGGAACATGCACCTCGGTTCCCCAGATTTACTGTCTGGTATTATTAGTGCTGCACTGTTTGTGTGGAGTTGAAAGAACATCAGAATCGACATGTGTCTGCATTCACAGTCCCTGCAGCATAATAAATGAGACGGGTGGAAGTTTGTGACTATTTTTATAACTTCTCTCCCTGAATCCTAGTAAAATGAATGAAATGACTGAAAAACAGGGAAACATTTTAATTAAAACAAATAAAACCCTATATCACAAGGCTCCAAAAAAAAAAAAATGTACCTGATAGAAGGACATCTAATGCAAATGAAGGAAAACACTGAAATCTGATATAGGAGGCTTCATGAACAGTCTATAAATTTTACAGAGTTAATAGGACCCATTTTCTGAATGTATCTACCCATGATTTTTTTCAATTCTCACCCTACAGTATCTTTATTGATTTTAGAGAGAGAGGAAGGGAGAGAGAGACACACAGAGACAGAGAAACAGAAACGTCAATGTGAGAGAACACTGATTGGTTGCCCCTCGTGCAGGGCCCACACAAGAACCTGAAACCCAGGTATGTGCCCCGACTGGAAATCAAACCCACAACCTTTTGGTGTGTGGGACGACACGCCAACCACCTGAGACAGCCAGCCAGGGCATACCCACAATTCTTAAGTTGTAAAGAATGAGAACTTTGGACATAAGCTAAATGGACTATGGTGGAAAGGAGTGTGCTCTAAGACTCAGTGTGTTTGAGGTCAGCTTGTTGTTAAGCTCCCTTCCCTTGTTTACCAACTGGGGAAGATTGACCTGGTTAGCAGTATGATAGGCCAGAGAGAGAGACAGGTAAACAATATTTTGAAGTTAGCTTCCCAGTGGCTGAACAGAATCGACACTTGCTCCTCCCAAAATAAATAATAGAGAGGCCAGTGAAGCATAGGCTTTATGCTGACAGGATTATTTGCCTGTCCTGATGGATGAAAGGCCAAAATCCACACACACACACACACACACACACACACACACACAAAAGACAAGACATGCCTCTGAGATTTCATTTTTATGACAGATCTATTGAGATACAATTCACATACCGTGTAATTCATACATTTAAAGTATACATTCAGTAGTTTTTAGGATATTCACAGAGTTGTACAACTATCAGTACACCAATTTTAGGAACTGAAAGAAACTTCATATTCCTTAATACCTCTCAGTCTCCCTCCTTCCCTGACCTAAGCAATAGCTAATCTGTTTTCTATTTCTATGGATTTGTCTATTCTGGACATTTCATATACATGGAGTCATAATATGTGGTCTTACTCGATTGGCTTCTTTAACTTAAGATAATGTTTTCAAGGTTAATTCGTGTTATAGCATGTGCCATTACTTCATTCTTTTATTGGCTGAATATTCCATTGTGAGGATATATTATGTTTTGTTCATAAGTTGATAGACATTTGAGTTGTTTTCACCTTTTGGTTATGAATAATATTGCTATAAACATTCCTGTACAAGTTAAAATTTTTTATTTTTATTTTTATTGATTTTAGAGAGAGAGGAAGGGAGAGGGAAAGAGAGATAGAAACATCAATGAGAGAGAACATTGATTGGCCACCTACTGTATGCCCCCCACTGGGGATCGGGCCCATAACCTGGGCATGTGCCCTCACCGGGAATCAAACTGGTGATCGGTGATCTCTTGGTGCATGGGTCAGCGCCCAACCACTGAGCCACACCGGCCAGGCTGTACAAGTTTTTATGTAGACGTGTTTTCAGTTCTCTTGGGTATATATCTAGGAGTAGAATTACTGGGTCAAATTGAACTACCAGACGATGACTAGTCAATGTTGAGCATTGTTTCTTAATGCTTATTGGCCATTTATATATCATCTTTGAGGAAATGTCTGTTGAGACGCTTTGCTCAGTTTTTAATTGGGTTGTATTTTTATTACTGAGTTGTAAGAGTGCCTCTGAAATGTATGTTTGATTAGATGTAGTAGATGTCCACAGACAGCCCACTTACATTGCAGCCATTCCTAACAGTTCCCATGATACCCTGGTGTAGCTGAAAAAATAAACAAAGAGTACAAACTATCAATATTCATTTCACCAGCAGCTCAAGATACCAAGAAACAAGTAGGACAGTACTCAGACAAATGGGAAAGAGTCGAGAAGTATCCACTCACTCTGTTCCTTGGAAATAGCAAAAGTTTCTAGACCTACTCCTCTTAATAAATGGGAGCCACAGAGTTTAAAGTACAAAGATGGTGCTGAGTTCTTTCACTACCATTTAAAGGCTATGCAAAAAGATTACTATGAAAGAAATTAAAAGAAAATGGAGATAAGTTCACTTTGGAAGAATTAATACAGGAAATAGAAGAACATACTACATAAAATTGTTCTTCGCTCTCAAATGAAAGCATTTAAAGAAAATTGAAAAAGGGTAACAGAGCTGAGAGAAAGGAAGGAGAGGGGGGCGGACATGATGATTATAGTGCTGAAAACTGCATTAGAAGTGGCCAGGGCTAGCCCAGCTGGTAGGGCTCAGTGGTTGACTGAGAGGTCACTGGTTAGATTCTCAGCAAGGGCCTGTGCTAGGGTTGCTGGTTGCAGGCTTGACCCCTGGTAGGGGTTCAATGTTTATCTTTCACTGATGTTTCTATCTCTCCCTCTCCCTTCTTCTCTCTAATAAATCAAGTTAAAAAAAGAAAAAAAGAAGTAGCCAGGGCTAGAACTTGAAGAATAGGCTTGAGAAAAACATCTGTGAGGACAAGTAAAAAGAAGAAAAATCTCGCCCTGGCCGGTTTGGCTCAGCGGTTAGAGCGTCCGCCTGTGGTCCAGAGAGACCCGGATTCGGTTCCCGCTAGGGGCATGTACCTCGGTTGCAGTTTGTCCCTGGCCCTGGTTGGTCGTGCGGGTGGCAGCCACTCGATGTGTCCCTTCCACATCGATGTTTCCCTCTCTATCTCTTCCTCTCTCTCCCTCCCACTCTATCTGTACAAAAAAATGGAAAATTGTCCTCGGGTGAGGATAAAAAAAAGAAAAATCTGGAAGACAGATAATGGAAAGTTAATGTATGATTTTTCCAAAAACAAGAATAGAAAAAAATGAAGGAGAAATTGCAGGCAAATATATTAATTAGTAGAAGATGATTTACTAGAGTGAAGAAGAAAACCTGAACTTGCAATTCAAAATATTTAAGTTTGCCCTGGCCAGTATGGCTCAGCAGTTAGAGCATCGGCCTGCAGACCAGAGAGTCCTGGGTTTGGTTCCCGGTAAGGATGCGTACCTCAGTTGCAGTTTGTCCCCGCCCTGGTTGGGGTCGTGGCAACCAGTCAGTGTGTCTCTCTCACATTGATGTTTCTCTCTCTTACCCTCTCCCTCCCTCCCGCTCTATCTGAAGATAAATGCAAACAAAATATTTAAGTTTATTTAGCAATCTCCATTATTGAATATTGAGTTACTTTTTGCTTTTTGTAATAAATAGCCAGAAGGCTTTGTCTTCATTTCTCATTATTTTAGGATACATTCTTAAAAGTCAAATTGCTGGAACAGAGACTATGAATATTATAAGTTATGCATTGCCCAAATTATTTTATAGAAAAAAAAATCCCATTGTTTTAATTTATTATTTTGTTACTACTGAGAGTGAACATTGTTTTCCATGTAAATTGTCTTACCTTCAAGTTTTTAGTTAATGTACTTTGCCTTTTTCTTTCCAGTTTTTCTATCTGTTATGTTTATGGTAAAATTTTTCTTCAGTTTGTTGCTTCTCTTTTAGTTATAAAGTTATTTTTATGTAGATATTTTGAAGTTTTTAAAATCTAATTTGCTTACTTTTTCTACTATCATTTTATGGAAAGTTCTTCTTTGCTGAGTAATTAGTTAAATGAATATTACCTCCTGTTTTATGGTTTACATTTAAGTAAGTAATTCATTTGCAGTTTATTTTGGTTTTTGGTATGGAGCAAAGATCTGATTTTATTCTTTTAACAAATAGGCAATATTTTTAGTACCTTCTGTAGGTTACCTTTTCCTATTATGTGGCAGCATTTCATTTTATATAAATTTAAAATCATTTTTGTCTTATTTTGTTTAAAAGTTTACTGTGTGCTCTGATACATCAACTTAACTTTTTTTTTTAGACTAAGGAGAATTTATCTACTGTGATTACTGACCTCAACATAATAATGGAGTCCACCACATATCCAGAATTAAGTGAATTTGTGTCTAGGTAAGATATTTTACAAATTTATTTTTTTAGAGGTGGTTTTCACTCTATAGTTTTGAGTTTACCTTTTCTCTCTTCTTGATAGGTAAGTATCAAAATATCTCTGAAGTTTGACAACATTATTACAGCTTATATTTAAGACTATATTCTCAATTGTTATTATTCTTTAATTCAGTACAAATATATGATACATTTACTATGTGTTAGGCATTAAAATTAAATTGTCAGCAAAACCAGATATAAGAGTTGCTACTCATGGAATTTATAGCCTAGTGGAGAAGTCGAGTATTAAATAATCACAGAAATAAATCTAAAATTGTGCCTCTATTAAATGGTACAGGCAGGAGCTATGGCATGGGCTGACTGTCAGCAAGTGGAGATCAAAGCCTTGAGCAGGGATGGGATTGCCTGTGGAAAGGATAGGAAGTAAGAATAAGAAAAGGAATTCCATGAAGACTTCTAGAATGCACTGCCCAATGAAAGAGAAGGATCTTGCAAAGTAATTAGAAAAGGAATTGTTTGAAAGGTGGGAGGAAAACCAAGAATGTGTTGTTGACCATTGACAACTGGGTTGATAGTGTTTTTTTTTTTTTCACATCTTTAAAGATATCCTCCCAGTGTCTTCTGGGTTGCCGAGGTTGTATCAGTATGTCTGTTATATTGTTATTTTGTGCATGCACTTTTTGGGCTGCCTTCAAACCTTTACCTACTACTTCTGTCTTGTTCTCTATTCTTAAAGTCTAGTTTCACGTTTGACAATTTGATACATTGTCTCACTGTTTGGGTGTTCTGTTCTATCTCTTTTTCTTCTTTACTTTTCAGTTTGGATAATTTCTATTACCCTATCTTCAGGTTTACAGATTTCTTTCTTCATTTAAAGTCCAGTCTGCCAATGGGCTCATTGAAGGAATTCTTCAGCTCTAATGTAATTTTTTTTTTTAAATTTCTAGCATTTTTATTTGATTCTTAATTTCTCTGCTGAAATTCCTCATTTGTTCATATACGCTGTCCAACTTTTCTACTAGATCTCTTAACATGTTAGTTGTAATCATAGTCAAACCTCATGAAAAGGGGTCACATGCTAACAACCTACCAAGCTCAGGGGAAGCCTGTGTGATGGCCTCCCAAACTCAAAGACCTAAAATAACCACAAAGGATGGTCTGAAATGAAAACTTTTTAATTAAAAGTAGTTTATGGCAGCCCTGGTCGGTTTGGCTCAGTCGTTAGAGTGTTGGCCCGCAGAGTATAGAGTCCTGGGTTCGGTTGCCGCTAAGGGCACATACCTCAGTTTCAGTTTGGGCCCCGGTTGGAGTTATGTGGGTGGCAACCAGTCGATGTATCTCTCTTATATCAATATTTCTCTCTCTCTTCCTCCCTCTCTCCTTCCTGCTCTATCTGAAGATAAATGCAAAAATGTCCCTGGGAGAGGATAAAAAATATATGTAAAAAAAACATAAAAGTAGTTTATGGCAGGTAGTCATGCCCTAGGCTGGCATCTTCCCTGACAAAGGTCAATCTTTACCTTAACTGAGTCTGTCTGCTGTCTTTTTTGCTCTATAATAATATATTTTTGGAATGTCAAAGTAATTTTCCTTTTTCCAGACGTCTCAAAGCACAGGCACCACTCTGTGGAGACCACAGATCCCCTCATTGTTATTGAGTTAATTGGTTGAATATTAACTCTTCTGTCCTCCTATGTAAAAGAAGTATATGTCTATCATTTTACTTTTTGTCCAGCCCCAGAGGTTTCCCTGCTTTGCTTTCTTGCCCCTTCCTAATCTATCACCAGTAGACATATCTCCTCTTTTGATTGTAATGTATAAAATATGGCGCAAAACTGCCATTCTCTGGAGCATTACCTCAATCCGTTGAGATTTTGCTTCCTGGCATTTGTAGACAGTTTTGGCTCAAATAAACTCACAAAAATTCTTCACAGGTTTGAATATTTTTTACATTGATACTCAGTTCTTGAACGTCTCCCATCTCAAACATTTAGGTTCTCAATCAAGTTGCTCATGGAAAAAATGTCTTGGTTGTCAAACAGATTTCAGTTCTAAACCTGACAACCCTTTCATGCTGATACACCAGCATGACAAAAAGTATCTCTCCTGCCACAAACAGGAAAGAATGCTTTATTGTGAATCAGGTTACCACAAAACCTCACCTTGTTAACATCTTAGGAAATTGTGCTGTGAATATTTTTGTGGTTTTCTTTTCTTTCTTTCTTTTTTTTTTTTTTTACTGTTGAAATGGATGCTTAGCACAATTTTAAAACATCAAGAGTGCTGATATTTCTAAAGGAGTGAAAGTGTTCATGAAACAGTGATCACAGGCAATTGAAGAGGTAGAAAAACTGTTATTGATTTGGATAAAGGAAAAGCAGTTAGCCAGGGACAGCATCTCAGAGTCAAAGACACGAAAAAGCGAAGATGCTGCAGGCTGACCTCCTGAGAGACCCTGGGACGAGGACTGAAAATGATTCATTTAAAATTAGTTGGGGGTGGAAAAGAAGTGTTTGTTTATAGATTAAACAGCACCTTAGACATGTACTGTATATAAGAAAGGTTAAAACGAAATCATTTAGGGGTCTGGAACGTATTAATTCAATTTACATTATTTCTACTGGGAAAAAATGATTTGATTTTCCAACAAAGCATTTCTTTGCATTTTAAAATTTTTTTATTGATTTTTCGAGAGAGGGAGAAGGGATGCATGCTGTGACCTGGAATCTAACCCGCCACCTTTTGGTGTATGGGACGGCGCTTCAGCCAACTGAACCACACTGAGCAGCGCACAGATCGCTTCTTGAACAGCCTTCCAGAACAAATTAAGTTTGAGAACAGGAGGTTCTACTGTATTTTTTTCTTTAATATTTTATCATGGAAAATTTTAAGTAAATATAAAAATAATAGTATAGTAATCAATCTGCAGCTACCCGTTAGTCACTTTCAACAATTATCAATATTTTACCAATTTTTTAACCTATTCTTACACAAATTGTAAATCTGTTCTTACATTTTATAGCTTTTAATTTTGAAATAATTACAAGTTTAAAGGAATTTGCTAAATAACCAGTATACAAGGGGATTTCATACACCCTTCATCTAGCCTGCAACAATGTAACATTTTGTATAATTATAGTATATTAACAAAATTAGAAAATTAGTAAAATCCACAGAACTTTTTAAGATTTTACCAGTTTTACAAGCATTTGTGTTTGTGTGTGTGTTCTGTGCAGTTTTATCACCTGTGTAGGATTTGTTAATTTTATTAATCTTTTTAAAGAACAAGCTTTTTGTTGTATTAATTTTTTGTGTGTGGTCTTTTTCTCTATTTTATTCCATTCAGCTCTCATATTTATGATTTCCTTTCTCCTGCTGACTTTGGGTTACTTTTTCTCTCTTTTTTTTTTTTACTAGTTGTTTAAGCTGTAATGTTAGGTTGTTTACTTGGGATTTGTCCTTTCTTGAGATAGGCCTGCAGTGATATACCTTCCCTCTTATTGCTGCTTTCACAGCATCCCGGAAGTTTTGATGTATCATATTGTCATTCACATCCATCTCTATATATTTTTTATCTCACTTTATTTTTCTTTGATCCAGTCACTTTTCAGTAGCATATTGTTTGATCTCCACATATTTGTGGGTTTCTTTACTTTCTTTTTGCAGTTGAGTTCTAATTTCAAAGCATTATGGTCAGAGAATATGCTTGGTATTATTTCAATCTTCTTGAATTTGTTGAGGCTAGTTTTGTGACCCAACATGTGGTCTGTCCTTGAGAATGTTCCATGTGCACTGGAGAAGAATGTATAATCTGATGCTGTGGGTTGAAAGGCTCTGTAAATGTCAATTGTGTCTATTTGGTCTAATGTGTCATTTAAGGCTGATATTTCTTCATTGGCTTTCTGTTGGATGATTTATCTAGTGTCAATGGAGTATTAAGGTCCCCAACTATGGTTGTGTTTTTGTCAGTTTCTCCCTTTAATTCTGTGAGAGTTGCTTCTATATTTTGGTGCTCCCTGATTGGGTGCATATATACCGAGTAGTGTTATGTCTTCTTGATGTGATGTCCCCTTTATCATAAGATGTCTGTCTTTGTCTCTTGTTACCTTTGTTTTCTTGAAATCTATTTTGTAAGCTATAACTATGGCTACACTTGCTTTTCTGTGGATGCTGTTTTCTTGGAGAATCATTTCCCACTCTTTCACTTTAAATCTTCCTTTGTCTTTGCAGCTTAGATGTGTCTCCTGAAGGCAGCATATAGTTAGTTGGGTTTTGTATTTTAGTCCACTGTGCTTCTTTATTGGTGAATTTAGTCCATTTACATTTAGGGTAATTATTGATGTATGAGGATTTCCTGTACCATTTTATCTTTTGTTTCTGGTAGCTCTGTGCCTCCTCTGGTTCTCTTCCTTTGTGTTTCTGTCTGTTGTTTGTTTTCTGGTGGTGTTCTTTCCTCTGTTTCTTCTTTGCCTATGCTGTGTGTCTCAATGTTGTGTTTTGTTTGTATTGTTACCATTAGATTTATGATAAAGAAAGTTTCATATATACAGTAGTTATTGTTCTTTTAAATGCATCTGATCTTCATCCTTCTTTGCAAATTCAGACCTTTCACCCTCCTCTTCCATGTTTTGTTTTCACAAGTTATCCCTGTTCATGCTGTAGTTTGTTGGTGATCTTACTCATAGATTTGTGACATTTTGTCCTTCGTTTCAGGTAGAATAACCAACCTCCTTGAGTATTTCTAGCAATGGAGGATTATTTTGCCTGGTAATTTCTCTTTCAGTAGTTTGAATATTTAGTTCCACTCCCTTCTGGCTTGTAGAGAAGTCCAATGATAACCTAATGGGCTTTTCTTAAGTTACTCTCATCTTTTCCATGGCTGCCTTGAGAATCCTTTCTTTGTCATTAATTTTTTACAGCTTTAATACGATGTGCCCTGGAAAAGACCTCTTGGATTGAGGTAACTAGGTGTTCTCTTTGCTTTTGGGATTCGAGGATCT